CAATATGCTTGTGACCCCAGATGTGTTTGAAGTTTTCCTAAAGTTAGTTGTGTTCTTGTGTAATGAGAAATCTGAAGGATAGACTCACAGATAAAGTGTAAAACACACTCACGCTTCATATACCTTTCGGTTGCAGTACCTTTTCTTAGAGCCATGAAAGAATGTCCTTAGCAGGGCGTTGGTGGCACACGCCTTTAATCCCAGCACTTAGGAGGCAGAGGCAGGCGGATCTCTGTGAGTTCCAGGCCAGCCTGGTCTCCAGAGCGAGTGCCAGGATAGGCTCCAAAGCTACACAGAGAAACCCTGTCTCGAAAAACAAACAAACAAACAAACAAAAAACAGAAAGAATGTCCTTTCACCAAAGACAGTGTAGCAATGATTTACATAAGTGAGTCCTTCCAAGTCCAGCTTGGTGAACTGGCGAGTTTATGGGATGTATTTTAAAGGAACACTGGTCCAGGGCTTACTTACAGGAGTTGTGAGTGACCGCAAACAGCTACATCACTGAAAGTCCTATCTTGTCTCAGCATGGGTGATGACCTCCAGGAAGCTACACAGGTGAAGCCCCCTTCAGCGACCCTCTGTGTACTCCAGCACCTCCAAAGACCACTGCAGCAGGGTTACAGGCAGCTTGCTCAGGGGTGCAGAAGGGAGAGAGGCACTAGAATTGGAGGTGAGGGTCTAATGACCAATCCCACCCCTTCCTTCTATGACAGAAGGACAGCAGGATCTTGTTAAGGTCTCTTGTGGGTGATGGTAGTGGTACCTGGAAGACAGCGTCTCACAATAACCACATATGGCTTGAAGATAATTTTACATAATATTTGGTGCTTGCAGAGTTTTGGATTTTGGAGAATTTCCCCCTGGACTTCTGGATTAGGGATGTTCCACAAAACAGCAACCCATTAATCTTACAGATAGTCAATTAACATGAAAGTTTTAAAAAGTAACCTTAATGAACAGTATTGCTGCCTATTGTTTACATAGTAGCAAGGTAGCCTTTGTGTCCTTAAAAATAAGTACTGAGGTAAGACGTAAAAGTTAGGAGTCGTGATACTGGCCTGTAATCATAGCACTTGGAGTTTGGGGCAGGAGGATCAGAAGTTCAAGGTCATTAACTGCTTGCTACACAGTGAACTCAAGACCAGCCATGGACACATGAGAGACCTGGTCTCAAAACACTAAAACTAAAATAAAGACAGTGCTGGTAAAATGGCTCTGCAGGCAAAGTGCTTGCTGTGCAAGCCTGGCAGCCTGAGTTCAGTACCTGGGACCCACATAAAGGTGGAAACAGAAGGCATAGAGAGCACGAACTACATAAAAGTTGTCCTCTGACCTCTACCCCCTGGCTGTGGCATGTTTGCATTACGGCTCACATGGGCCCCTCACCCACCCCATGCACACATACAACAATAATAAATAAAATAATGGTGACACATAATCATCAAACACTAATTATTCCCACCTATGCTTCTGGTCCTATCAGTTTTGCATGGGGCACATGATCCCAGAGTGAGATTCTGAACAAGTTAGTGGTGGCTGACCCATCAGGTCACACACAGCCGAAGCGACCCCACAGAGTTTATTGTAGCTGGCTCTATGACTAAACTGGCAGCCACTGTTTCTTTAGAATATTTTTCTGGTTGTGGGTTTTTGTGCAACCCCACAGAGTTTATTGTAGCTGGCTCTATGACTAAACTGGCAGCCAGTGTTTCTTTAGAATATTTTTTTGGTTGTGGGTTTTTGTAGGTTTGAGTGCAACTCCAGCTATGATGGATAAATTCAAGATCTGTAACAGACAGACTGGAGAGTCTCTTAGTGTGACACGGACAGAATAGTGGGCCCGTTCTCCACAGATATCCTAGCAGCCCAGCACCTCTGAAGTCTGGTCTTGTGTTACCTTATGTGGCAAAGGATAGCCTAGGAGGTAGATGGAATTAGAGGTGCTAATTCAGGTGACCTTGAAGTGGAGAGATGAGCCTGAATTATCCTCCTGGGGTCTGTCCATTCCTACGGGTCCCAAAGAAGTGGGAAAGGAGAGGGAAATGACTCCTTTCAGGAGTCAGAGTGGCTGTGAAGGAGGACTTTTCTCACCTTTGCTAGCCTGCAAACAGAAGGCTACAAGTCAAGGTACTCCACAGCCTCTAAAAGCCAAGATCCCACTGGACCTTCAAAAGGACCTGCAGCCTGCAGACATGCTGATTTTAATTTGAGAGCTTGTGTCATACTTCTGACCTACATACTTCTGCCCTTGTGTTTATGTCACTGAGTTGGGAAATCAAGAGAAACCAGGCAATGAGGTTCCAGGTAAGCCATGACCTCCAAACAAGGGTTGCCCGGGGATGACAAGCAGAGGTCAAGAGGGAAGACATTCCAGGGACCTTTACAACATGCAAAGCTCAATAGATGGGAGAAGTAGACAACACACATTTGCACAATTCTTCATTTTATGTCATTCTAGGTACCCTGTGGGTATGTCTAAATTTAGAGCAGATTCCCTGGACATAATGGTGTATAGGCACAATCCCAGGACTTCGGAGGTAGAAACTTGATGAACCAGAGTTTGAAGCTAGCCTGGGCTAACTTTAGAGACCTATCTCAACAACAATAAAAAAATATATCAGATTATTGCAGCATCTAAAGGGTTCTAAAGCAACGCTAGCCTCTGATCAGCATTTATTATCTCTGAGTTTCTGTGGGTCAGGATTTCACAGGAGGCATAGACAGGATGGTTTGTCACCACAGCATGTGGGTATCAACTGAAAGAGTTGGAACTTAGCAGCCAGAAGCATCTAGAGAGGTTTGTATTCACACATGCTCTTTCTGGGTAGTCTGGGTCTCTAACATCATGGTGGCCAAGGGCAAGCTGGAGAAAGAATAAGAGAGAGTGGAAGGAGGCAGAGACAGATAGATAGAGGAAGAGAGTGTGAGGCTCTGAGCATCAATGTTTCCAAGCTCATCTAGCTCACAGCAAAGCTTTCACTGTGCACTGTGGATGGAGATGCTATAGGTAGAGAGAAACACCGCCACCAGCTCTCTGTGGCCTCCTATCAAAGTATGGAGTAAAATGGTTCTGGATTCAAACCCTGCTTCTGTCAGTTACCATCAGGATGCTGACCACCACTCTTTCTGTTGTAATAACTGAATGTTGTGGTTGCTGTGATCTGTCTTTTCTAGTGAAGGAAACAAAGGCTCTGGAGACCCATGGCTCTGGGGAATGCTTCATGGGACAAGGCCTAGACGAACTAAATCTGCTGATCAGGCAGGAAGTCTGAGCAAATCAAATGTTGGATGTCGTGCTTCTGCAATCATGGGTGTCAGTTATGTGGCAGCTGGTACCAATACACAGTCTCAGGTCAACACCAAACTACTGGGCCCATAGAGTGCTCTGCTCTCCCCCACGGTGTCATTTCATCAGACAGGGGTAAAATCCTGAGAAGAAAGGAAGTACTTTCTGGACTCTCCTTCCTCCTACCTCTCCTCTTATGACCTCTTCCCCAGGGCCACCAGGAACCTTCATAAGACACTTCCCATTACTGGGCATCAAGACCTGTGGCAGGCTCACATGATGGCCACACACAGTCTAATAAGAGTCTCAGCACTCTGCAGCCGAGCGTGGAAAGGAGTTGAACAAAACCAGGTCAAGTGCTGGGAAGCGTATATAGCGCGTGCGGCAAAGTCCCCAGACACAAGAGGCTCCTGCATTTTTCAAATGCTCCTCGAAGGCAGTATAGGAGGAAGGGCTATGTATGGAGTTGTGTTCAAGGGAACATTTTGATGTTTAAAGTGTGGCTATGAAGTTGTCCTTATAGAAGCAACAATTCACCCAACTGAGCTTTGGACAACACAGGTATGTCAACTCGATAGTAGACAAACCTCTGGGCATGTTTATGAGGGAGTTTCTAGATTGGGTTGAGGGGGTAAGACCTACCCTATATGTAGGTAGCACCATTCCCTGGGCAGGGGTCCCAGACTGAACAAAAAGGAGAAATCCGTCTTGGATACTAGTCCCCTACTTCCGTAGACTCAATGGGACCAGCTGGCTCATACTTCTGTTGCCCCGTCTGCCCTGCTATGATTGGCGGTACCCTTGAACTGTAACCCAAAACCAACCCCTTCTCCGCTTTCCTTGCTTGCTTTTCTAAGTTTCAGACTTATTTTTAGTATTTTAAATTTGTATGTTTATGGGTATAAGAGCCCATGGAGGTCAGAAGATGGCATCAGAGGCCATGGAGCAGGAGTTACTGGTGGTTGTGAGTTGCCTGATGTGGATGCTGGGAACTGAGCTTGGGTCTTCTGCAAAGCCGTATGTGGGTGATTTATTTTTCTTTTTTTGAGATAGGGTTTCTCTGTGTAACAGCCCTGGCTGTCCTGGAACTCAATCTCTAGACCAGACTGGCTTCGAACTCATAGAGATCCACCTGTCTCTGTCTCTCGATGATGGGATTAAAGGTGTGTGCCACCACCACCCAGCACAGTACGTGTTCTTAATCACTGAGCCATCTTTCCAGTCCTACAAGCTCTAACTCTGGATACTTCTGCTGACTACTTTGAGAGTCAGCTCATTCTCATCATGGGACTGGCACTCGCAACTTTAAACATCTAGAAGGACCATCGTGTGAAGAACAATCACAGGGTTTGTCTGTATTACGGGAGAGGAATCAGTAGCATCAGCCTGATGAATACTCCCGAGCTAATACTGAGCTTCCATTTTAACCGGATGAATCTTCATGTAGCTCCTACTATGTGCTGGACATGAGTGGACCCTTCTGGCAGCCCTCTACATTAGGCACTGCAAATGCCCAAGAGACATGTGGTCCCAGTCTTCATGGCGACTGACATTTAATGGGGAAGTCGTTTCTTGGACACCTGCTCTCTATCAGGCACTGTTCTAGGGGTTGAGGATGGGATGGAGAATAAAAAAAGTGGAGTTGTAAGTCCTCAGGGACATTGCATCCGAGCTAAGCAAGTAAAGCGTGAGTTAGATATACGATAAGTGGTAACAACAAAATTAAGCCAGTGTATTGGTGCCTTTTACTGCTGGGAAACACTAGTACAAAGTTGATATTAAATAGCAGAAGTTGATGATCCCACAGTTCCAAAGGTCAAAAGTCCTAAGCAGATTAACAGGACCGTGGTCCTTATAGAACTTATAAGACCGCTCCAGGGTCCCAGTGTTTCATTCCTAGAAAGTAGTGTGATTTTTACCTGCGAGGAGGTGACACACTAGTACTGGTGAACAGGGATGGCACTTCCTACAAGGTATCAGGGAAGGTCTCCTGAGCGGGTGGTTTTAGAATGAGCCCATGTAGGAAGTGGGTGTGGCTGGGGAAGGTTTTGAGGGGAGATGCTCCTGACTGGTGACGACTGGTGTCCTCAGAGGACAGGAAGGAGGTTCGTGTGCCTGGAGATGCTAGGATGGGGTGGAAGCAGAGGGTGGTCTAGTGAGAGAGGTTCTCCTACGGCTGAATTGTGTCCCCTCAGATGCTGTGTTGAAACTCTAATCTCCATGACCTCAGAATGGACATGAAGGAGTGATTCTTTAAAGAGGCAATTAAGTAAAGATCAGGCCAATAGGGATAGCCCCAATTCAATAGGACTGATGTCACTCAATGTAGAGATCAGAATGAGGACACAAAAGACATTGGGTAAGGACACAGGGAGAAGACTTTTATCTCCAAGTTGAGGAGGGGCCCATAGGAGACTCCAACCTTGCTGACACCTTATTCTTGGATATCTTCTGTTGGAGTTGTGTGGTCTGTGGAGCTTTGCCATAGTTGCTTGAGCTCCAGAGGAGGTAGGCCCTGAAGCCCAGAGTTCCTCTTCTGACATCTATACCCATCTATACCATGTCTGAAGGACATGGATTCTTACAACCAGGGTTCAGTTCATATGAAGTCACCTAGTACCACTTGGCCCCTGATGCAAGCCTGTATGGCTTGGAATTCAGTTTATGGGTACATAAAACCATCACTACTCTGTCCACTGCTATTGCTATGAACAACGAAGTCTTGTGTCCCTGGGATTGTGATAGGCCAAGTTATAAGCTTAGTAGGAGAATGCACACTGGAGATGTAGCTCAGATATAGACTGCTTGCTCAAAGCCTTGGGTTTGATTCCAGCCCATAAAGTCGGTGTTGGTGGTACATGCCTATAACCTTAGCATTTGAGAGGTGGAGGCAGGAGGATCAGAAATATAGGTCAACCTGGCTATATAGCAAGTTGGAGGCCACCCTGGGCTATGTGAGTCTCAAAATGAAAACAAAACAAAAAACACTAGGAGGAAAGTGAGATTCTGCTCAGCTCTTGGTTATAGTGCAAGCCAGGAGGGCTCTGGGAGCCAGAGAGGATGGGTGGCATTGGAGGAGGGTTTAGAGCAGAGAGCCATGGCTTAGGCTTACAAAGCTCACCAGGATTATCTTCTCCAGAATGGTCATCGAGGAGACAGGAAGGAGGCAGATCCCTAGGTTAGTTCTCCATCAATAGTTCAGAGGCTGGGTAGTCAATCCTTCAAAGGGTGATGGAAAGTGAGAAGCTTCAGTATATTTCAAAGGCTGAGCTGACATTCCGGGATGGAAGGGGACAGGAGACAAAAAGGACCACACTGAATTTTCAGATTGGTGAACAAAGATGTGTACTGCCTTGGGCTGGCATGGGGAGATGTTTACAGGCATGGGGAAGATGTCCCACTTATTTATTTTTAAAGGCAGGGTCTCATCTTCAGTCCAGGCTGGCCTTGAACTCACAAGCAATCCTCCTGTTTTGGTCTCACGAGTGCTGAGACTACAGGCTTCCCAACATGAGATAATCAATATTCAACCCAACAGTTGGGGGTTGGGGGAGAAGACGTGGGACAGGTGGATATGTTTGGTGCTCAGGGGTGAGATCTGGGTTAGCATCAAACTCTTCAAGATATTCGAAGCCCTAAGACACACAAGTAAAATAGGTCTAAGGACAAGTCCCAGGGCCATCCATATTTAGCAGTTAGTGAAGTAAGAACCCCCAAAGAGATTGAGAAGCCAGATGTGGGGCAGTGGAGGCCTGGGACGATTTCTCACAGATTTGGGGTTTCAAGCTGGGGGTAGGGACAAATTGCTAACAGTAGATAAAGTCACATGCTGGCATCTCTATTAGCGTTATTGCTAAAGGCAAAGTCAGAGGCAAGGTACAGAACAAGCCAGGGCCTCTGCAGTGTCAGGAACAAGGAAGGCTGAATTATCCAAAGTGTCAGTACACCTGCCTGAAAAATACTGAAACCCGAAAGAGAAACCAGAAACAGCTTGGTGTCTAGGTCTCTGGGCTGCTCATTAGCTTGAATTTGAACCAGTTAAAGCACAGGACACTTGAATCAGGGATGTGGGGCTATTTATGAAACACCCCTGGATGGAGAGACAGGGACTCCGCCATAGTGCACAGACCCAGGACTCGGGCTTGCTCTGGATCCCTGGAAATCTACAGTATCTTATTCACTTGGAAACGTTGGAATGAGCTCTCAGCTGCAGTGCGGTCCAGCTTCTTGGGCTGCTGGGCTGAGCTCAAGTGGGGTTAGTGTGAGGTGAGCCTGCAAGGGGCCAGGGCAGAACAGGCAGCGCTCGGGGGACTGCAGCTTGGAGGCTACAACTCAGCTGTGCAACGTTTTCGTGGGAAAGACTGCCTAGAAGCCCCGCGTGGAATCCCGTCTCTCTACCATCCCAGCCTCAACTTCAGTTTATTGACGAAGCGTGGAACCCCGTGTTTGCCACGGGAAGGGAAGCAACTCTCTTGCTGGGTTCAGAAAAGGAGGCAGAAAGTTGACAGACCCCGGTAGTCGCAGAGGCTCCTCAATCGCTCTGGTGGCAAACAAAAGCGCGGGCGGACCGGCTTATACTCCACCTTCCCGGTTCCGAGACGCAGGGGTTGGCACGGAGCAGCGGGGACAACCGAGAAGGCCCAAGGAGGTCAAGAATACCTCGCAGATAGGGCCGCGAGAGTGGCGCCCGGG